TAATAATAATAATAATAATAATAAGTTGCAGGATTTAAAACCACAATACACAGTTATATTTTTACCCTAGATCCTGCTAAAAGCAGAGCTCAGGTGTGCCAAAAAAATTCAGTCCTCCTATTGCAACAATTCTCTGGGTACAACCATTTCCTACAGTTCTTTCCCATACCAGAAAGTATGGGACTCCCAGAGCTGAAACTGGAAGGCCAAAGGCGTGAGGATACAGAAAGAAGTAGTTCAAAAGCTTTGAGTTCATTGTGCTGTGGGCAAGTGTTACAAAACCTTTCAACTGTCAGTTTAAAAAATAATTTAAAAAAACCAAACATGAAAACAAGTCTAAAATGGAATTTCTTGTATGAGCTAAGTACTTACTCCAAATTAAAATTATTGCTTTGGGAATTTAATTTCTCTCATGTATTGTATATATTTTTTTAATTTTTTTTTAAATGCCTAGACACATCAATAAAAATTTCCAAAAGCTCAAGTTGTCTAATGAAATGCAACTCCAGATGGGTCTCAGTCACTTGTATGTTAATTCACCCAGGTTGCAAGCTCCTAAGCCAGAAGTACAGAGACAGATCTAGTGTGGGAGAATCATTAGAGCTCAGATACACAACTGAATAAATATGCCTGCAGATTTCCAAGACTTGCTTCCCTTCAGGAAGCAAACCTTTGCTCTTGCAGACCACACATAACTCTTGTGACACACAAGTTTGTCCCATACAGGGTCAGTCTGGTTGCCCACACGCTGTGATCCTGGACACAAGCACATCACTGCCAGGGGGTTTGTACACTGAATAAACAGTTGAGCTTGAATTACTTGGTTGAATCACACTAGAATGACGTTCTAGATGGCAGTTATTGCCTCTGCATCTCACTCCTGCTGCTAAGTAGCACATTACATCAGATATGACACTACATGGGCTCAGGACACCACTGAAGGGCAGCAGTGGACCAACCCATCCCAGCTTTCTTCTGCAACTCCACCAGAGCATCGCTTCCCTGTCCCACGTCTCTCCACTCAGGTGGGCCCCAAGGCAAACATACCTTTGTTTTTGACTCCTCCGTGGGTTCTTCTTCTAGGAGCTTCTCACTGTGGGCAAGATAACATGTGAGGAGAACGCAGTGCTGAGGGGCTGTTCATTTAAAGCCCAGAGGGTCAGTTTGTGAAGTACTAAGAGGGAAAAAAAATTGCACCTTGCTCCAATTAGCATCAAATCAGTGGTTTA